GTAGCATCTGTACCGGCCCCCGTGGGTGTGGTTCACGTGGCCCAGGGGGAAGTCAGGGCTGTGCTGCCCATAGAGGTGCTGGGGGTGTGTGAGCCCCTCGTCCTTGGTCAGGGCGAAACTGTCAAAGCCGGCCTCCGCGTGGCACTGGAGGGTCAGGCTGTGTCCAGGCAGCACCAGCGAGCCTGGCTGGGCCGAGAGGGTGGGCTCCCTGTGCACACCTGGGATGAGGGGACAGTGGCACCAGGGGACACCCCCATCGCCTACTGGGCTGCAGTGAGAGGTCTCATGTGTCCCTCCCTGAGCCTCCCGCCTGTGGTTCTGTCCCCAAGAGGCCAGTGTCACTGACCCCATGAGCCCAGGGCTCCACTGGGCACACAGCTCAGATCAGGTATTTGGGCCCAGGAAACAGATGAGAATGCACTGGAGTCTGTCCCTCACCTGTGACCTCGATGTGCAGAGGGGCACTGGGCTGTGACCACACGTCGGGGTAAGAGCTGGAAGAACCATAGCATCTGTAGGTCCCGCCATGGGAAGGGCTCATGGGGCCCAGAGGGAAGATTGCCTGCCTCCACACAGCATGGGTCCTCCATTCTGCTTTCATGTGTTGGGGCGGGTCAGCCCCTCCCTCCTTCAGCAGATGGAAAGGGCCCGATGTGAACTGTGAGCTACAGGAGAGGGACACGTTCTCTCCTGAGGCCACCACAGGGCTTGGCTGGGCTGAAAGGGAGGGTGCACTGTACAATCCTGAGGGAGGAGAAAGGATCTGTGTTAAAGGGACCATCACCCTCATACCCCAGGTGTGTTCTGTGGGGAATGGGGTCCTCCTGAGCCCACACTTTACTCCCTCTCCCTGTGACCTGGAGCCCAAGTGGGGAGAGGACCTGGTTCCTCCCTTACCTGTCACCACCAGGAGCAGGGGGTCACTCAGATCTGAGAGTATGTTCCCAGTGGTGTAATATGCACACTGGTACAGCCCTGCGTGGGATAGGGTCATGGCTTCAATGAGGAAACCGGCCTTGTTGCTGGAGTCCTGTGGGGTCCTGGTATCCAAGGGCTCAGAGTTCTTCTTTTGATACAGACCATAGGCACTAGCCTGCAGAGGCCCCTGACACCAGATGGTCACAGGGCTCCCCTTGGTGACGATGGGGCCTGGGTCAGCCCAGATGGAGGGTTTGGGGACGTCTTCTGGAAAGGAATCAGGCATGAAATGTCAGGAGAGTCCTTCTCCCCTCATGACATGAATGAGTCAGTGATGCCATTTAATGAGCAGCTACCGTGTGCGAGGCAAGTGCTGGGGTCTGTCACTCCTCTCCTCTCACCTCAAAGCAGTCAAGCACCAGGGACTGCTGTCCCCACCACCCACTTCACTGAGGCGCGGAGAGATTAACCTCGTGCCCCAGGTCACCCAGCCTGGACGGGGAAGGGCTGGGATGGGAACCCGGGACTGTGGGTTCCCTGTGCTGTCCTCACACAGCCCCCCAGGGGGAAACTAGGTTCATGCTCTGGGCTCCTCTGCAGGGGCCTGTCCTAGTCTCATCTGGAGCTGAGGGTCCTTCCTCATTACCCGCCCCCAGCACAGCAGGGACAGGAGGGGCAGGGTGCGGGGTGGACTACGAGTCTCCCCCTCATCCATTCCCACCCTGCAGGCCCTGATGCCCCTTGGGAAGGTCAG